CACTAACGACCAAAAAATCAAAACAATGAAAAAACGTGTAATTGCGTGTAAAGTGGTGAAAAGCGTGTACACGCCATGTGACAAAATCCTCGCGTGTAAACCGTTGAAAAAGCGTGTATTACACGCGATATCATGTCAGTTGGCAACTATGATCATGCCATATCTTCTGGATTTTATGATATCAATGTGAACAATGACCATCTTTTTCAGTAAACTTTCGAGCTCTTTGATTATTTTTTTGCAAGAAACTAAAAGAGATATAATTACTTCTTACATTGAATCAATTTTATGTAAAAATGCCAGATGAGGAATATAAACCTCTTGGAGGATCTTGTTTTAAAAATAGTCAATTGCATTTTTGGTAAATGCCTATTTCATGACCATACATTATTATTGAACATATCAATAAACAATCTATATACACATATATATGTTGTACTCTTTTAACTGAATCTGGAGTATTAAGATTCGTCAATGCAGTCTTCCATTAACCCACTCATTGTGAGATCAAGGAAGTGGAATATTTTGATAATTTTTCAGTGTCACAAAAAAAAAACTGTTGCATCATGAACCACCTTCTAGCATGTCTAGTGCACCATAGATTTTGTTTACATTTTAAGGGAGGGGTCATGATCTGCCAATTCATGTCATAAATTTTAAAATGTATTAAAATAGTAGGATCCCCAAACCATGAACTAAAAAATATTGTAGAAACCCAGGAGTGATCTCAATTGGTAAGAAAGATTTTCACAGTTTTTCGTTTAGTCTTAAATCAATCAGTTGTTTTCTTTTTGTTTAATATTGTTTCACATTTTGTCATATTGGGGCTTTTTGTGGCTGACAATATGGTATGGGTTTTGCTCATTGTTGAAGGCTGTTCAGACCTTGTATACATTTGTACTTCAACCAATGTCATTTGGACTCTGTTGGATAGTTAACCCATTCACAATCATACCACATTTCCTTGTTGGAAAATGACGCTATCAGCGGCATGTTTCCGATACCATTGACCAGAACTAACGGAAGTTGATTATGCCTCCGCCTACCGCACTCGGTTTCATATTTACTATTTTACATACTAACTGGAATCTGCTTGTATTACGCTACACTCGAACAAAGTGTTGTAGTCGGACGGGAACCAGTTTACATACGTTATTTTATTTACCAAAAAGATATCTTGACCTGTCCATATGTTTTTTGTTATTAAATGGTATTTGGAGCTATCCCTTTGTTATATTTTTCATATTTATTCGAGCTTTCACTTTTATGCACATGTCTTACAATCGTAAACAATCGGTATGTATACATGATGATAAATAGATCCGATTTGTTATGGTGTTGGACTTTTTACCCTCCAATGATCAGCAATCGCTAGACAAAATAGTTCTCCTAAATAATGTCAGCCTTTCATGCCATTTCAACTTTATAATCATTAAAAAAGTAATAATCGGAATCATTTTGATATCCATTGGATAGAAACTGGTCTTTATCCAGATTTACGAAGATTTTAATAATCGGAAATTAGTAATACGGTTATACCCATGCGGTGCGTATGAATCTTTGTTTACAAAGTTATAGCAGCAGAGTCTGTAACTGTATCATTATTAATTAACTACACTGTTATTGTACTTAATATGATGAAAACTGCATATGCAATATAAGATGTCAACTCGGCCAATACAGATTTTTTTTCCGTATTGGCCGAGTTCTGATCCGGCCAAAACAGGATTTCGGAACGTCTCTAGTTTTTAGATCGTAAGTCACGATAAACTCAAACTGAAAGTAAACAGTTGTTTGTACGACGCAGTTTTTATTTACTCACCATAAACAAGCTGAAACGTTCAGTATGGCATATATTTGAGGTTAAAGACGGTCCCATTCATTTGAAAAGCATTTTGAAAGTAGACGATGGAATTATTTCAGGTTTGGGGAACGAGTAAATTATCACAAAGATCATTTCTTGACGACCTCATAATTTCATCATGTCGATGGTACAAATCGATTTTTACTGTTTACTTTCGCTTCTCCTGTTTTGTAAACGGTCTTTTATTTTTAAACCCGAACCAGGCATATGCATTCTGTAATTGCGCAAATCTTCGTTCTTTGGTCAATTGGCTTATGGATAGTTGTATCAATTTCAACTCTTACATTATTTTTTTTTAAATATATTTGCATTACACATGCAATGGCAGTACCTTTCCAATTACTATTTATGTGTTGTGTCTAAATTAAAGTTGTAACACTTTATAGTGACTGGAAAGGGTAAAAAAATTCATCAGATGAGAAAAGGCTGAAGATACATGGAAACGGCACCAAATCATTAGATATTACATCTTATAAAAAGAAACTGAGATTTGGATAGTTCCACTTCAAGGTAAAAATGTTTATCTCTTGTGAAATGAAATAAAAAAATATTGTAACACTGAAGTTAATTAATAAAGATACTATTACATGTATTTCTGTATTGGCCTTATTATTGGTCCTCGGCCAGCAGTATTGGCCTTCGGCTTCGCCTCAGACCAATACACCAAGACATGGACCAATAACAAGGACAATACAGAAATACTTACACAATAATATTATAGAATGACAGTATGGTTCAATAACGGGAATCAGCCCCTCAACTACTTTTTACATAAATATTAACTTCTGGCTTCAACTCCTTGTTCGTCTTGTCTGGAGATCTTGTTGTAGTTCCAGTTAGGCAAGCATTTTAGAGACGTATCCCGTCCATCCTCTCTTGACTTGTAATTTCTGGTGATAGATTTTGCCGCTTGACGTTGTATCCTTTCAAGCTTGTTTTTTTTTGTTATCGTGTAGGGGTCCCATACTATGGCTCCATATTAAATTGTAAGATCCATTCCTAAAGGTCTAGATCATTGTTCTAATCTGACACAAATTTCAATAACTGGAATGCTACCCAAGATGAATATATGGTGACCTACTAGAACAGCATTATCACTATTGAAATTGTGTTTAATACCATGATTGTTCAATGTCATTAACTTAAATGGAGACAGACATTTGACCTGAAAGGTGGTGTGGGAGTGCAAAATCAAAAACTAACTTGACTATGATATATGGTTAAAGAGTGAATATCAATTACATGGGTCAACATGGTCAAGGGCAGAGTTGTTATGAAATAACAATAAGGCAGAGAAGTGGTTTCAAGTTTCATATAAAGCGACCTGACTGACATGAAATAAAAAATCAAAGGAGTATCCCTATTTGTCTAATCTTCAAGGTGAAATAAAACTAGTAAAACAATATTATACTATTGTCTAAATCTACAGAAATATAATTTGCTTCAAGTAACAGAAATAACTAGGTCACTAGTAACTTATTTAATGAGTATGTGGGGTATAAGAGCTTGATAACAACAGGCTCTTCATAATCATTTGGTTTGAAAAGGATACTAGTAGTCTATATTCTTGATTTAGAAAAATGTAATTGCAAGACAAAAATCACATTACTTAGAATACTTTAGATCATTCAGGTAGTCTTTATTTATATGTACAAAAGAACAGCCAGTAGTCATTGGATATTGTAGATCATTCAAATATTCTTGACCTATTTATTAGTACAAAAGAACAGCCAGTAGTCATTGGATATTGTAGATCATTCTGGTAGTCTTGACCTATTTATTTATAGAAAAAACAGCCAGTAGTCATTGGATACTGTAGATCATTCAGGTAGTCTTGACCTATACATTTGTACTAAAAAAACAGCCAGTTGTCATCTTCACATAACACACACACATACGAATATCAATTATATGCTTACGAGACATGTTGGAATGTTAAACTAATTACGGTATGTGAAAATCAAGACTTGCATAAAAAATATCACAATATTAGAGACAGTGGCGTCATTTTTCCTCAGAGCTTTCAGCTCTTTGATTTTATACTACAGTCGAACCTTCTTGTGTCGAACTCGGTTGTGTCGAAAACTCGGATGAGTCGAAGTAATTTCTCGGTCCCGGTAAAATTCCTGTTTGATCAATGCATAATTACCTCTGATGAGTCGAACTCGGTTGATTCGAATACTCGGTTAAGTCGAGTAAATTTTATAGTCCCGTCGAAGTAAAATTAATGTAAATTGACCCCGATGTCTCGAAGTTTGAAAGTAAGAATTTTCGAAAGATGCAGACCTAATGATAAAAATTCAAATCGGATATATTTGTTATGTCACCTAATCATTTTCAAAAGAGATTAAAGCTGAGTAAATATACATGTTTGTATAACAGTTAAAATGACATGTTTATGGTGACCGCTAATTAACACCTTTGTTGATCGTTCATGCGGAATGTTAGTGTGTTGAACATTTTTCACCTGAGATAAAATCGAAACGAATTTAAATGACCCAAGCCGAGATTAAATGAATCGTTAGATTTAAAACTCATTAATTACAATAAATAAAAGGATTAGGACAATTATAATAAATTCATGATCATTTAATGTAAAGCAGACGACCTCATCAGAGACCGTTCAGAACTTATTTTGTACCGCGAGTGATTTCATAATTTATAGTGATTGACCTTTGTAAATAAATGTGTAGACTATTGATTTTATTTGCGCATGATTTGTATCTGTACTTTTGTGTTTAATTATTACGAAGGACCAAAAATTGAGATTGAATACACAATCATAAAGTGTCATATCGAAAAAAAGGCACACTGTTCATTGTATCTAGTTTACACAAATCTCATACCGTATTTCATGCATTCCAAATTTATGACGACACACTTGACCTCGGATGAGTCGAACCTCGGATGAGTCGAATACTTTGGTCCGGTCCCTTTGACTTCGACACAACGAGGTTCGACTGTAATTACTTGGAAAAGTATCAACTCGGGACCAAGAGAACTTTGAAACATCCATTTAAAAGCCTAAGTCCTCATTGATCTACTGGATCTCAAATTTTAGCCAATCAGACTCTGATCATTATTCACAAAATGTACAGTAATGTATCCTGATGAAAAGAAATACCAAACAAGTTAGTTAAGTTTCCATATTTTATTTTGACTTCTTTATTTCATAATACATGGTATCAATAATTCTTCATCACATTTATGTTTCAGTCCAACATTGTGTTCAAAATAGAATTGTTCAAAACTTTAACTCTTTCTAAATACATGAAATATTGAAAAACTTATTTGAAAAAATCAAAACAAGACATTTTATGCTTCTGTCTGGCATAAATAATATTAACCACTTTTAAATAATATTCTATTTCTTTTATAAATCTATGTTCATGTGGTCACATTAATCAAGAGAAACAACTATGTACAACTAATATATAAACCAAATCTGGACTGTATTTGGAATACTCAATACCTAATTACGGTACTGGTTGAGGAGAGATAACTCTCAATACATATGCTACTTAACCAAATGTCTTGACCATACCAAACTAATATATAACATCCCCTTAACAATTAAACAAACCCTGTTAGTCTTAAATGGTCAAGGCACTTTGGTCATATTACAAAAAAACAATCAAAAATCAAATAGTTAGATAAACAAGCAAATGAATATAGATCACAATATTTACAGATGATATACTTGTAAAAAATAAAAAATCGTCAACATGTGGTCAACATCGTGGTCATCTCCATATTGACACCCACTGTTTAGGATTGTGCTTTAAATGTTTCAAGTTTTCAATATTTCAAATACAATCCAGAGTTATTGTACGATATGTGCTTACTTGAAACCAGATACTCCACCATTATTTGCTACTGTCTGGCATAAATAATATTAACTACTTTTAAATAATGAATTCTATTTCTTTCATGAACCTATGTTCACGTGGTCACAATAATCTAGAGAAACAACTATGTACAACTAATATATAAACCAAATCTGGACTTTTTTCCAGAATACTCAATACCCAATAACGAGGAGAGATATGTCTCAATACATTTGCTACTTAACCAAATTATACCAATTATTCCTTTATACCAAACTGTTATATTTTAAAGAAATACCAAAATACAATGACAATAATAAAGCAATTAAGATTGTGATCCAATTTAAATATTATTTATCTCTTGAAGTATAAAAATGAAACTGATGTTAAAGATTTGACAATTACTACATGAGTCCTGCTATATTTGAAAAGTATCAAGTTTATTTAGGGCTATATTTTATCCTGAATATTATGTAAATTGTGTTAAGATAAAAATATTTCAGTTTTTCTAAAAAAGTGTCAAATTTACAACCCGAATTGGCTGTTGGGAGAAATATTGGTGAAATTTCGCAAAAATTTCTGGATTTCAACTATAATTAGGCCTAGGAAACAGAGAGGAGGCTTTGACAAACTAAATATTGAAGTCAGACATTATATATGTCATTGTAAATCTGTAGAGCCCAAGATATGCTGTGTATTTGCTTGAGGTAATACACAATAAAATATACAAAAAACCCAATCATTTGTCATTTAAGTGATAAAAAACCCCATTCATGCAAAGGAGAACCCAATTACATGTCAGAACTGCTTTTTCTACCCACTGTCTAAGTGCTAAATTTACCCTAACTGATTAATTGATGGTAAGTTATTGTCCTTTGTTATTTTGAGAAATCGTCTTGAAATCATTCTAAAAAGAGAGCACCCAATCAAATTGCTGATCTGTGTCCTTGTTGGAATTCTTTAATCAGTTATCTGTTGGTCAGATTTTGTATCCCTAGTAATCAGTTGGTCTTTCAAATACAGAACTGATAAGAATGTTTCAAACCAGACAAATTAAATTAAAAAAACCCTGCTTATCAGTGTATATACCAAATTAAAGTCCTGTCATATATACTAGTATCCTCAATGAAATCCATTTAAGATAGCAGTGGATGACCGTCTTGATTTGTGACATCAATAATGATATGTCTCAATTCAATACTGTGGATTCATTTATTTTCGTGGATTCCAATTTTCGTGGAGTAAGGAAAACTTGCATTTTTGTGGATATCTTATTTCGTTGCTTTGACGAAGTCTGCATACAAGCCTATATGAAATTTGTCATTCTTTGAACATTTAATTTCGTGGTTTACCTTTACCCACCAAATCCATGAAAATTGGTATCCAATTCAACGAATAATAATGAATCAACAGTATCATGATGATGAAAAAACTCAATACTTTCAGGAATGTTGTGTAAAACCCCAAATTTTCAGGAGCTTAGTGGTGATCACCCAATTTGATCTTTGTCTGAGGGGGGAATTGCTATTGATGTTGCAAATAAAAAATAAAACTATTTCACTCAATTAGATTAATTATGGTGGGTTACTCCCCAATTTGTCAGGTCCTAAATCATACTGCTGGGACCTTCCTTTATTAGGGCCCGCCGAATGGCGGCTGCCCTATAGTGATCAGTCTGTCCGTCCGTTTGTGCGTCCGTCCGTCCGTAACAAATCGTGTCCGCTCTATATCTAGAGAACCGTTATGATTTCAAAGTTTATACTTGACATGTATATTAACCAACACCAGAGGGTGTGTCATAATGTATGTTCAACTTCCTAGGTCATTGGTCAAGGTCAAAAACTTTGGTTTTAGTTGACAACCCCATGTCCTACGGTAAAGATCGTGTCCGCTCTATATCTTGAGAACCGTTATGATTTCAAAGTTTATACTTGATATGTATATTAACCAACACCAGAGGGTGTGTCATAATGTATGTACAACTTCCTAGGTCAAAGGTCAAGGTCAAAAACTTTGGTTTTAGTTGACAACCCCATGTCCTATGGTAAAGATCGTGTCCGCTCTCTATCTTGAGAACCGTTATGATTTCAAAGTTTATACTTGATATGTATATAAACCAACACCAGAGGGTGTGTCATAATTTATGTACAACTTCCTAGGTCAAAAACTTTGGTTTCATTTGACAACCCCATGTCCAATGATAAAGATACAAATTTTTTACCACACATTATTCACAGCGGGGCCCACAGAGATGGCTCCCATCTTAATGATATCTAGTTATTATTTGATAAAAAGTAGATCCTTCTAACTTTTTTAGGTTAAATGTGATTTCCACTTTGTGTGGACACCACATTTTTTAAACTGGCAAAAAATATTACTTTTTAATTTCCTATTTGTTTCCGGTAAAAATTTAGAAACTTAAAAAAAATATTAACATATTAATTCAAAGAAAACTACTGTTGAAACAATATTAAATTATTAAAACTGAAGCAATTGCCTTCAAAATCTGTCAAAATTAACTAATCAAGTTTCAAAGGTTTTGCAACAATTTCCTAAATTAAACTATAGCAAGCAACTATGATCAAAAGATCAAATTCATGGGAAACTAGCTCCTTAAAGTCCACTTACTAAAATTTCTCACTTTTCAAACTATCAAAACTGTTTTACTTTTACATAATCTATTTTGAAAAAAATCACAAATTTGTGATGATTGATTCAAATGCTGATAGCACAGGCTAAAGTTTTGATTTTCTGATTTCATTTAAATGAAAAACAAATACTGAAGAATTTTCAACAATGTATCAAAACTCAGCAAAATTATGTGAAAATATGCAAAAAACATGTACAGGGTGTATAAAAACATAATTTCCTTTCAAATTAAGAATTTTATGTCCAAAGTGAAATATTTGGGTCAGCAAACCTCAAATATATGGGAAAAAGTTCTGAAATTTTGTTGACTTAGCAAATTGTTTTAAATACATGCACCCAAGACATGTCAATATTATTTGGTTGACACATATTAAATCATTTACAAAAAATCTTCTTGGATTGGTTCAATTCAATGATGCATACAGGCCTTTAAAAATTTGATAAATTGAATTTGAAATTATGCTGCATATATTTTGACTCATATTTTTAAAATCAACAAAATGTTAAATAATTAACACCTTACATGCAGTACATTTTCAGAGTTTTTTCAAGACAAAAATATAATCAGTTTGTTAATCCTCGTTGAAACTGCCCTGTTTATTTCAAACTATTACATATAGCTTAAAATCTCCATTTTAATATTTCCTTCAACTGTTCACTTTTTATTTAATGCAAAGGAATAATGTAAAGCAGTAGTATGTGTACAATGTAAATAATGCTCAATACATTTTTCAAGACACATATTTTGTTTTCTAATAGAATATATTTATTTTTAATAGTCATACATGTACAAGAATCTTGTCTGAAAACACTTGCAGAATCTAAATTAGTGTAATCAAAATTTCAAAGGATAAGATTACAGGATTTAAATGAAAATTTGCTTTTGGTTTCTTGTGTTGTTTGGTTGCTGTCTTATTCTAATAGAATATGTCCAAGATTTCCTCTTATTATTATTCATGAAATATTTATAGTTTTTATGCTAATTATATCAAGAAACACTTAATGTACTGTGAACTGATTTTAATTCTCATGAAAGATGTTTATGTTAGAAATAGAATAACCAGTAACCAGTTTTCTCTGTTTGCAATTGTAATACAAACTACAACCATTGTCTATTGATTTTAGTCCTTTAGTCTTCACAGTCTTGCACTGTTTACCATCAGATGACACATGTTGTACTGATCCATCCTTACACATCACATACAGACTGCCATCTTGTAGTGTAGTCATCCTCCAGGGTCGTGATGGTAATGTTAGGGTGTGATGTCTGTCATCAGTATAACTGTACCAGTACAGGTTGTTATTGTTGTTATCACAGTAGAATATTCTGTCACCAGAACCATGTAACCTGCCAGAATGACAGTCCGTCTGTATTGTCTGTACCACCTCTCCTGTCTGATGATCTATGATCAGTAGTCTGTCCTTACCACCTACAACTAACTTGTTGTTTATAGTTGTAATGCCTCTCCACCACATTCCAGGTACTGATATTGATTTAAGTTTGAGTTTATTGTTTATGTCAAACATCTCTATACACTCACTACGTATCAGTGTAACAGCTACTGTAGAGTTGTTGACTGCTGTAACACACCATGGTTTACCCTGTACATCTATACTGTCTATCGGTGATCCATCTGTGTTACAGATCTGTAGTCTGTCCTGTAGAGGTAAACATATCACTAGTCTACCATCATCCATCATCACTATATCTGTTATATATCTTCTGGCAAGAACACCAACTACTAATGTCAGGTTTATCTCATGATGTAGTATAAAGATAGACTGTCCTAGTATGTAGGGCTTATTTGGTTGGTCAACTGAAACATTAAAATATCAGTTTCAATAATAAGATGATTAATTATTAGCAAGTGTATATATTGCAATTAGTGTATTAAAATTTAAAAAAAAATGACAAATGAAATCTGAATATATTAAATATTTTAAAATAAATAAAACTTTATAATTAAATAATTTTGTTGGTTTAAAATGAAAATAGCGGAATAATTATTTTTTTTTGTAAATTTGTGCCACATACCTTGTTTATTAGTTTGGTTTTTTATCAACTGTTGTAACACTTCCTATAAAAAAAAATTACATTGAAATGTAGAAGTATGAAAATTCTTACAGATTATTCTACAAATGTGCTTGGTTTTTTCAGTAGCAAAGTCTTCTAAAAACTTCTGTACATTTCTTATTGATATTTGATTGATGGATGTTGAATGTCCAGTGGATAAGTTTTTCTACACTATTCAGCATCCTTCAGTATGATTATATATTAATGGTACTAGAAAGAATGCTTCAAAACATATTTTTTCCATTATTCATTATTTTTCATTATTGTGTCTTGTTTTCCTGCCGAATGTTGTTTATTCTTGTCAAATCTAAGTCCAACTTAGTGCTTTTTTTTAACAGAAATAGAAACTAAGTTATAACAGGGGGAACTCTTGATTTCCTGATGTCAGAATATATTTGCATATTAATTTCCCAAATAGAAGGTAAACATGGCCTTGCAAAACTGACCAATCGACTCAATGAACTACAATGCATTGTGGGCTACTACGAGTTTACTACCTCTTAAAAACACTCGGAATTAGTGAGAAAACTGTAAACTTATATAGTGTCTGGGACTCTCATAAAAAAAAGTTTTGTTCAGCGAAATGTGTTTAATGTAAAATATATAACATAATCTTCAATTTGCATGCTCAGATTAAAAAAATATTGTTTACTGGCTTCACGATTCGACTTTCTTTTTTGCCTTGTAAAAGTAGTTGGACAGGTTTTGTCTATTGTTATGCATTGAACATGTGCATTAATTTCACGTGAAACAGTGAAATTTCCAATGAAGTGACCACTGTCCAGTTTAAAATCCTATATCAAACAAATGAGAGAAATATAATAGGTTTATATCCAACGCTGCAATTTTCACAAATCATATCAAAGTTCACGTCCTTGTCGCACATAAACATGGATAGCATCATAAATGATTTTATTGAGATTGGCAAATGTCAAAGTCCGTTAAAAATATTAAAAATTCCAATATCTACATTAGAAGAAATCGAACTTTGCAAAGATGAAAACAAAACGAAACTACAGCTGCTGGCAATGATTATTTAGAATATTGCTTCATTACCTTCAGAATAAAGCGAACTTGACAGTTTGAAAAAGAAAATAAATGTGGAATGTGTCCATGGGACACAGATGATGCCCCCGCTTGCATTTCATATAAAGATATAAAGGGACATAACTGAAGAACGGTAAAAGTGAGGCTACCCAAATTTGCACTTGATCTGAGTTTTGTGGTAGTTAGCATTGTGTATAAGTTTCATAACATTTGGTTGAGGCAAACTAAAGTTAGAGAACAGAAACCAACTTTGGGACGTACAGACGGACAAGGGTAAAACTTAATGCCCCCTCTATATTTATAGATTTTGTTAACATTGTCAGACAAGAATTAAGAAAAGTCTTGTGCAGTTTTGATTCAGTTTTGATGAAATATGATTTAGGTTTAATACATGTTCTGTACCTGTCAAATTCCAAATATAAAAATATTACACAGTATTCTATAGTAAATATCTCTTTTTAATATAATGGAAAACCAATCTTTCTGAAAGGATGTAGGATGATTGCCAATGAGACAACTATCCACCATAGTTCAAATGTGGTGGTTGTAAGCAATTATAGGCAACCGTAACAATGAGAATAAACTGCTTCGCTGAGCGCAGCTGGATACTCCTGCAAAGGTCCAACCCTGAACATTTGGGGCAAAAATGGACACAATATTCAAGCTTGATACAGGTCTGAATTTGGATTGTAATTAAATATTTGACATATTATAGGTTTCTGAATAAATGTCAAAGAACTTGAAATTGGTTATATGAATTGAATTTATATTCAATCAAAGATTTCTTGCTGTTGTGCAATACACTGTGCTGTTGCGCAATACTTAGTAAATCTGTTGTCAGACTATAAACAAACAATAACTTCTCAATGTTATATCAGAAATTTATAAAAAACTAAAGGGAGGTTATCTTAATAGATATAAATCAGTCATCAAAGTTTAATGAAAACTGCTCTAAGCACTTTAAGGATATTGTCCAAAAACTTGAAAATCAACCCTTTTTTTATGAATAAAATCTTATAACTCGGAAACGTAAAATCTTAAATTTATAAAAATTCAAAAGGGAGCTTACAACAATAGATATAAACAATTTACCAAAGTTTCATAAAAAATGCTGAAAGCATGTTTGAGTTATTGTCCAAAAACTGGAAAATCCCCCTTTTTGTAATGAATAAAACCCCATAAATCGGAAACGTATAGTCTAAAATTTAAAAAAATCAAAAGGGAGCTCATGTAGATAGAAATAAACAATTCACCAAAGTTTGTTGCAAATTGGTGAAATTGTTTTTGAGTTATTGTCCAAAAACTGGAAAATCGCCCCTATTTTAATGAATAAAACCCCTTAACTCGGAAATGTAAAATCTAAAATTTATAAAATTCTAAAGGGAGCTTACATCAATACTGAATAGATATAAATAATTCACCAAAGTTTCATAAAAAATGCTTTCAGCATTTTTGAGTTATTGTCCGAAAACTGGAAAATCCCCCTTTTTGTAATGAATAAAACTCCATAAATCGGAAATGTATGGTTTAAAATTTATAAAAATCAAAAGGGAGCTCATGTCGATAGAAATAAACAATTCACCAAAGTTTCTTGCAAGTTGGTGAAATTGTTTTTGAGTTATTGTCCACAAACTGGAAAATCCCCCCTTTTTTAATGAATAAAACCCCAAAACTCGGAAACGGTAAATTCATAATTTATAAAAAAGGAAACGGAGCTCACGTCAATAGATATAAACAATTCACCAAAGTTTCATGCATATTGGTTAAAGCGTTTTTGAGTTAATGTCCGACATGTTGACGACGGACGGACAGACAGACAGACGGACGGACAGACGGTCAACAGTATAACATAATACGTCCCGTAAACGGGCGTATAAAAACCCATACCTTATAGTCGGCTATAAATTGCCCCGATTGATGATATCACATATTTGTTTCTTAAAGACAAATTTATAAATACATTCCTTTCCTCGATTTAAATGACTTTCTAATCCTAAAAGAAGGTACAATATCATAGCATCAATGTTGTGAAAAGCTGGGAAATTGTAGTGACCCCCAAAAGATATTTGAAACACTCTAAGTTTTCCCCTTTTTTACGAACCCAAAATTCAAGGATATCGTATTTTTTTGACTATCTGAATGAAAGTTTATCTTATGGGGTAATTTGTTTTTCACAGTTGTTTCGTTGCTGTCTTGTGGACTATTATCTGAAATCTTTGTGTATTCATCAAGCATATTAATGGCTATATTTCGGGTAATTTAAACACTCGTTTCTTTTCATAGAAACAACTCCTCTGTAATCTGAGCATGGAACGAATACTTTATATCACAGGCTATAAATGTGAATACAAAAAATGAAAAATTAAGCGAATTTGTTTATCCCACAATGCATGAAAAAATGTGTTGAATTTCAGTATATAACACGCGTTCTCGGCTGATCGTAAACACGTAGTAGTCCATCATGCATTGTTACTCATTTAGTTGATTGGTCAAAAACCCAGGTAAAAAAAAATGCGTCATACGTAAATAAACAATTACATGTGCGAGTATATAAGTATGCTAATTTATGCATATCCATATAAGGTAGTGTTCCCGACCTGTATAACTACTATGAATAATCATCTGAAACTATATGTTTACATAATCATTTCTATTTTTATATTGAAGTTCATACAAATGAAAATGTACATTTTAATAAAAGTTTAAATTTTTAATTAATTTTGGGTGATTCAGATTGCATTAATTTCTGAAGTAGATTTGAGATCTCAAAAAACATGTTTAACCCCGCTGCATTTTTGCGCCTGTCCCAAGTCAGGAGCCTCAGGCCTTTGTTAGTCTTGTATCATTTTTAATTTTAGTTTCCTGTGTATAATTTGGAGTTTAGTATGACGTCCATTATCACTGAACTAGTATACATATTTGTTTAGGGGCCAGCTGAAGGACGCCTCCGGGTGCGGGAGTTTCTCACTGCATTGAAGACCCAATGGTGGCCTTCGGCTGTTGTCTGCTCTATGGTCGGGTTGTTGTCTCTTTGACACATTCCCCATTACCATTCTCAATTTTATTAGAGGTCAAAATATGAGAAGACTAACTTTTGTGATCTTGCTTATTATTTCAAAAAGTATAAAGTTAGGTCAAAACTGTAATCAGCAAAAATAATCAGAAATAAAAGATCTACAAAACGTTAAAAACACCAAATCAATTGGAGGACCATGGGGTTATAGCCTTGAAGGACGATTATTTTCACTTATTTTTCGTGTCCATTGTATACTTTATCAAAGATCTTTTCCTCCGAAACACCTTTACCAATTTTAACCAAATTTGGATGAATGATCCTTATGGTATCCTGCATAATGATTGTGTTATTGTATTCAGTCAGGTAATAGAAATTTCTGCCATAACTAAAGAAAAATAAAAAAATAAGGCAAAACACATTTATTGTCTTATATCTTGAAAATCATGATACAATGTATATAAAAAGGGTGAAAATTTGCTTAGAATGTCAACATTGAACCTCTTCCAATTTCATGAAAATTGTCAGATGACTCCTACAGGAGTTATTGCCATTTAATGACAATTTATCCGGCTTTTGCCAACTATTCTGAAAATTTTAACAGATATTAAAGCAGAAACAGTTAATAGCAATTTTAAGTGATCAGCATTACAAGCCCTACAAAAATTTACTTCTACATCATTTGTTCTCTGCTGGAAAGTTGTCTTATTGGCAATTTCGTTACATCTTTGTATATTTTAAAAAGATTTTGGGGTAGCCAAAAATTATAATTTTAGATTCCCAGCACTTAAGAAATTGGCAGCTATATGTCACCAACTGGCCTTCAATATTGAACAAAACAAAATCCATGCTGCATAGCAAGCTTTAAAAGTTTATTATGAGACAAATATAAAACAATATTAAAACGAGAAAAATAACAGCCTGATTTATGTACAAAACAATAAACGAAAAACAAATTTGATATACAGCAACAAATGACAGCTTCTGAATTGCAGGCTCTTGACTTGGGACAGACACATACAGAATGTGGAGATGTGAAACATGTTTGTTGGCGTCCAACCCTCTCCAAAAGAGTACTGTTTAAATAATTTTTAACTGTTAAATTCTCATTGGCTGAAATACAAACACTAACCTGCTCCCTGTGCTCATAATTATTATTTTATAATAACTTTATCTGTAATGATTGCTGTTATCAATTGTACATACCTCTAGTTTAGCCTTTAACTCAGCATTGTTGATGTTCATTGTACTCAGTATTTCTGTTGAAGTTGAATGAATGTCTGCAGTAGTTGCCCCTATGTTTTGTATTCTGGTGTCAATCTGAATTAAGAAAATATTTTCTCTCATTTTAAGGTTTATATATAGTGTTATCCTTGTCTGTTATTTTGTCCTGTCATTCTGAATCAAACAGTTGTCCAGAATCTGTAAACCACTACTCAGTTGATGGGTACTGTTTTGCCCCTCTTTGTCCTTTCGTTTGTCTGCATCTCTTCATGTCTGTATTTCTGTATGTCTATCCATCCGTATGTTTTTAAGTCAGTCTCTCCATGAAATTTCTGTCCCATTTTTCTCAGGAATTACAAATTAGAGCTTCCAGATTTTGTTTCTGGCTACACATGAACCAACTTTACCATGTGACACAGTTTCAGATAAATGGCTCTACAACTTCCTGCCAAATACTTATAAATTCTAAACATAAAACTCATGTATGAAATTTTCATTGCATTTACATAGCATCCCAATTATTGTCACATTAACCTATTATGTCTGTTTGGGTTGCTCACCTAATTTTGTCAATATAACGTAACCATAAACAACTGTCATCCAAGTCAAGTGGGAGGTTAAGCTAGCTAAAAAACCAGGTGTAACCCACCATTTTCTTCGAAAAATGCATGTAGTAAATCAGGAATATGACAGTTGTTTTTCACTCGATTCATTTGTCAGTTTTTATTGACTTCCCCTTTTTGAATTTATCTTGGAGTTGGGTATTTTTATATGCCCCCGCGACAAAATGTCGGGGGCATATTAATTTACCCCTGTCCGTCCGTTCATTCGTCCGTCTGTCCATCTGTCCGGATTAGGATACCTTGTTTGTCTGGCTATCTCCTCCTACAGTTTTGGAGGTACAACTTTAATATTTTGTAGGATGTTTATACACATAATGAAGGTGTGCATGGCCACAGGATTTTGATTTTTTCAAATATTCTGAAAATGACAGGTAGTTGGACTTAGTCATATTTTTGGTACTAGCTGCATAAAGAGAAAAAATAATGGCCATGTATAAAATTTTTGTTACATTTTACTAGGGAACTACAAATTATAACTTCCTGAAATTTGTTAAATCAGTCTAGAAAAGTGTTAATAAATGTAAGAAGTGTAACAGGTAAATCAAAATAATCTTGGACTCTTGTTGAGATTTGTAACAAGTAAGATTTGTTGAATGGATAATATTATGTTGTTCAGAATAATAAAAATAAATGGGGAATGTGTCCATGGGATGCCCCTGCTTGCATATAAGGTTATAAAGGGACATAGCTCAAGAACGGTAAAAGTGACGCTACTGATATTCGTACTTGAACTGAGTTTTGTGGTAATAACATTGTCACAATTTGTTTAAGTTTCATAACATTTGGTTGAGACAAACTTAAGTTAGAGAACTTAAACGAAATATTCAGAAGTTTTTCATTTGTAAAGGGCATAACTAAAAGTGACACCACAAAAATTCTAACTTGATCTGTGTTTTGTAGTAATTAACATTGTGTATAAAATTCATAACATTTGGTTGAAGCAAACTAAAGTTAGAGAATGGAAACAAAAAAATACAGAAATTGTTTTACCATTTTAAAAGGGGTATAACTCTAGAAGGGTAAAAGTGAAGCCACCAAAATTCAAACTTGATCTGTGTTTTGTGGTAATAAGCATTGTGTATAAGTTTCATAACATTTATTTGAGGCAAACTAAAGTTGGAGAATTTCGGGACGTACAGATGGACAAGGGTAAAACTTAATGCCCCCTACGCTACGGCGGGGACATAAAAATAATTCAAGAATTAAAATTTGATATAAAAAAATCTTTGAGAAACACCCTGGAAACTGTACAGCCAAAAACAATATTAAATAGGTTTTTATGATATATATATATATATATACCTCTTCAAGCTTCTGGTGGATTTCCAGAAGAAAAACAACATATTTGTTGCACAGTGAATCATCCAATGATCTGTTCTGTATCCTAATGAAGTCATCTTGTTTACTGGGGTCAAGTTGAAGGACATATGTTGTAAGATCTCCAAATAGTGTTGTGTACTCGGCTTGAGTGATTGCACCTTTTGTGTTGTGGCTAAGGTAATTATTCTTAAACTGCCGCAGATCAGAAATCAATGAAAGCTCATTTGGTGATAGATTGCAGCAATTCATCAAAATCAGACTTGTCAAGGTAATGTCAAGGTCATCCAGTGTGATAGTAGCTTTGGCTGAATACTTGCAAAAACAGTGGTGGAAACCTGGTGTTGGAGTTTCTATATACAATAGGTCCCATTGGCTGTAGTTGAGAGGAAGTGGACCATGATTTACACAGTTGGCGCTGTCAACACAACATTGTATATTTTTATGGCGGAGGTGAAACAGGATGTGTATGACAGGTTTACTGTTGATGAAATCCTGTAGACTTCCTAATCCTTTACTTTTGTAGTCTTTCTCTAGCCTCTGTCTGAAAACTGGTGTAACGATCTCCAATATAACAGAACCAACAATGAAGTAACGTTTACGGTCCTCTCTGTCCATTCTACAGGGAAAAAAATAAAAATTTAACTCTTACCATGCTGTATTCTTTTCAGAAAAAGTATAATTTTAATTTATTTGTAAAAGTATGTTGATGCTAATAATGCTAAAATATGGGATCAAGGGGTGAGGTTGGGGTGGGTCACCTGGGGCGAAAGGCATCAATATAGACCATTTTTCGTCCTATTTCTTGACCTGGATGCTGATAGATGTATCCCACTGTAGTCTGCATGTAGAGTGGATGTCAGTGAACATATGTACAAGTACAACAACATAGGGGAGGGTTGGGATCCCGCTAACATGTTTAACCCCGCCACATTCTGTATGTATGTGCCTGTCCCAAGTCAGGAGCCTGTAATTAAGTGGTTGTCGTTTGTTTATGTGTTGCATATTTGTTTTTCGTTCATTTTTTGTATATAAGTTAGGCCATTAGTTTTCTCATTTGAATTGTTTTACATTGTCATTTCGGGGCCTTTTATAGCTGACTGTGCGGTATGGGCTTTGCTCATTGTTGAAGGCCGTACAGTGACCTATAGTTGTTAATTTCTGTGTCATTTGGTCTCTTGTGGAGAGTTGTCTCGTTGGCAATCATACCACATCTTCTTTTTTATATTAACCACAAAAGGTCTTACCTCAGAGTAAAACTGAAATGGGTATGGCAGTCTAAAGAAGGTCATTTCCACCCAAAATCAGGTGATTTTCGATTTTTCTTGATTTTTGGCTTCACCTTGACCTGCAACCACAAGAACTCCTTCCCGAAGTGTATTTCAATAATAAACACTATCAGTAGCTATATGCCAACTGGTTTACATTATTTTTGGAAGGTTGAGGCCTTTCTACTAGGTGTGCCAGACACTGAGGGGAAACCAACCCCTTCAGAAAAATACCCAGTTTTATCTGATATCAATTTTTGAAGTTCGTATTCAGGCTCAAACTGCACTTTGAACATGAGAAACATGACAATAAATAGCTTTAGGTTGGGGGAACATGCATCAGTTTCCAAATACATATCATACAGTTAGTTGACCTCTAAAAGTGTGGAGAGCCATTGTAGACATCAAACAGTTTTTTGGGTAGAGGCTGTAATATTACAGCCCCCAACAGTAAGGGTTACAAAATACTTTTATTCTCTTGCCTCTATCTAATAAAATGCTCCGCAGGGCGCAACTTGATACGACCGCAGAGGTCGAACCCTGAACAGTTGGGGCAAGTATGGACACAACATTCAAGCTTGATACAGCTCTGAATTTGGATTGTGATTAAATATTTGACACAGCATAGGTTTCTGACACAGAATGAATGTGGTCTAAGAACTTAAAAATTTTAAATTGGACATTACCTATTATGGTCCAATATCCAAAATCTAAATACATGGTTAGATTCAGCATATCAAAGAACCCCAAGAATTCAATTTTTGATGAAATCAAACAAAGTTTAATTTTGGACCCTTTTGACCTCAATGTGGACAAAGTTGATAACGGGGCCCAAAAATCAAAAATCTAAATACATGGTTAGATTCAGCATATCAAAGAACCCCATATATTCAATTTTTGTTGAAATCAAACAAAGTTTAATTTTGGACCCCGATTTGGACCAACTTGAAAACTGGGCCCATAATCAAAAATCTAAATACGTGTTTAGATTCAGCATATCAAAGAATCCTAAAAATTCAATTTTTGTTAAAATCAAACTAAGTTTAATTTTGGACCCTTTGGACCTTAATGTAGACCAATTTGAAAACGGAACCAAAAATTAAGAATCTAAATACACGATTAGATTCGGCATATCAAAGAACCCCAATAATTCAATTTTTGATGAAATCTAACAAAGTTAAATTTTGGACCCTTTGGACCTCAATGTGGACCAATTTAAAAACGGGGCCCAAAATCCAAAAACTTAATACACGGTTAGATTCAGCATATTAAAGAACCCCAAGAATTCAAGAATAAAACCCCATTGAAATTGATCAAGAAATAAGCAATTTATACGTAGTATCTTCTTTTACACAATACTGTGCAATTGAATATTTCTTGCTATTGCGCAATACTTGTACAATTGACAATTTCTTGCTATTGCGCAATACTGTGCAATTGAAGATTTCTTGCTATTGCGCAATACTGTGCAATTGAAGATTTCTTGCTATTGTGCAATACTGTGCAATTGAAAATTTCTTGCTATTGCACAATACTTATTATATAATAATTTACACATCCTGTTTGGTGTGTATCTCCTACCATATCATTATTATTTGCTTTTAAATATAAATCAGAAATAACCAACTTAAAATGGAAAATTTTAAAGAAAAAAAAAAGGAAAAAAAGAAAAAAAAAAGAAAAAAAAAAAATCCCCCCCCCCCCCCCAAATATTTTGAACCCCTTATGATTCATCACCCCCAAACTCAATCCCAGCCTTCCCTTTGTGGTATGGTACCTTGCAGTACAATTTCAGAGAGATCCATACACTTAAACACAAGTTATTGTCTGGAAACTAGAAAAAATGCTTATTTTTGGCCCCTTTTTGGCCCCCAATTCCTAAACGTTTCGGGCAATTACCCCCAAACTCAATTCCAGCTTTCCCTTTGTTATATGGAACCTTGTAGTACAATTTCAGAAATATCCAAACACTTACACACAAGTTATTGTCATGAAACTAGAAAAATGCTTGTTTTTTGCCCCTTTTTTGGCCCCTAATTCCTAAAATTTTGAGGCAATTACCCCCAAAATCAGTTACAGCTTTCCCTTTGTGATATGGAACCTTGTGGTACAATGTCAGAGAGATTCATACACTTACACACAAGTTATTGTCTGGAAGTTACAAAAATGCTTATTTTTGGCCCCTTTTTGGCCCCTTTTTGGCCCCAAATTCCTTAACTGTTGGTACCATAACCCCCAAAATCAATCCCAACCTTCCTTTCGTGGAATTAAACCTTATGGTAAAATTTCATGGAGATCCCTTCACTTAAACTAAAGTTGGAGTGCGAAAACCAATGTGTCTTCGGACGACGCCGGACGACGCCAGACGACGACGACGACGTCATACCAATATACGACGAAAAATTTTTTAATTTTTGCGGTCGTATAAAAACTGGTCTAACTGTCTCCAGAAGATCAGAACCATCAATGAAGTAAGGTTGACAATCTACTCTGTATTAAATCATACAAAATCATACAACATTATTTCTCTGTCTGAACTCCAAAGAGGAAAAACTTCAATATAACAGAACAAACAATACAGTTAATTCGATCTGCAGTCTCTCTTTTTATCCTACAGTAAAAATTTTAAAAGTATGAATACCCAATGCAATCTCTATATTCTGCTAATTTTTAATAATAGACTGGACGTCCATTAATGTACATTTTGTAGTATTGGTTCTTCCTTTATTTCTACTTAATTTCTTTTCATGCATATATATATATATATATATATATATATAATTTTTTAAATGACATTAGTAGTCTCCCTTGTATTTGTTAACGTCATACTATTGTTAACGTCAATCAATTGTTTTGTATAACACTAATGTATACAAGTCACATTATCTGAAGATCTGTAAAAGCAGTGAAAGCGCTAGTAAAAGTGATGAATTGAAACTGTTATTATCTTTTATTAATTTTCTTATATATATATATATATATATATATAAACAAGTCTAAATTGAAAACAACGTTCAAACTTATGATTGCGTTGGATAAAAACCGCAATTTTTATACATGTGCATGCAAAACAAATTTCTTGGTAGAGGGGTCTAAATACAGCACAAACAACATTTTCCAAAAGACCAAAAAAGTGAAAAAGTATATTTTAACAAAAAGCATTTGACTAGCAGGTCGAACAACGGGTGTTCTGAAACCCTGCTGAATGCCATGGCGATTGCCAAATAAATTGATCACCAGATGTAACAAAATGGATCTTAATTATTAATTTAATACCAAACAGAAAACAATAAACTTGCGGAAAAGATGGTATACCGCAAACATGAGTTGCAAAAATTGGTACACCATATCCGGATTTCGACAATTAATGTCTCTTCAGTGATGTTAGGAACCGAAACGGTATTTGGAAGGCCATATAATTTACCTCAATTTAGGATAGACTCTTGAATTTTGAAGAGTCGAAATAGAATGTACGGATTAAATAAACCCGAAGGCAAATATAATACAAGCCCAAACGAAAAAATATAAACAAGTCTAAATTGAAAACAACGTTCAAACCTATGATTGCCTTGGATAAAAAGCGCAATTTTTATACATGTGCATGCAAAACGAAATTTCTTGGTAGAGGGTCTAAATACAGCACAAACAACATTTTCCAAAAGGCCAAAAAAGTGAAAAAGAATATTTTAACAAAACGCATTTGACTAGCAGGTCGAACAATGGATGTTCTTAAACACTGCTGACTGCCATGGCTATTGCCAAATAAACGGATCACCAGATGTAACAAAATGGATCTTAATTATTAATTCAATACCAAACAGAAAACAATAAACTTGCGGAAAAGATGGTATACAGCAAATAATATATATATATATATATATATGTTATTGTTGATTTTGGATCTTCTTGGGAATCTCTCACTCTATATCATCCAATATGCAGTGGTTGAAAAGTGCAATGCAATTGAATTAGATTTAAGACAAATGAACATTCTTAAACCTTTGAATATTTCTTCAATTCAATTAATTAATGCAAAGATGATGACTTTGTCCATTAAGTGTGTAATAAAGGATTCAAGATGTAATTGGAAGAACTTGCTCTGTGAAAATGAGGCCAGTTGAAATGGAACAGAAATTTTTGAAAAGTGTCTAGCAATTTTGGTCAGTTTGAAGGTTACATAAATTGAAGGACAGACATTATAAGCAATATGAAAATCTTTGTTACATTTTGACAAAACTAGTTTCAATATTTTGAATCATAATTTAAACTTGTCAACTTCAGTTAAAAAGTATAACAGTAACATTTGTTAATATATTATTGTGTTTTGTTGATCAGTATAACCTCATCAGCAATTCACAAGCTGGTTTTAGGAAAAGGGTTGGAAGATTTAAGAATATTTTCTTTAAAACTTTATCTTGGTTCTGGCAATAAAATTTTAAGAATTGTAAGAGAATAGGATTATACTATGACTGTAGTCTATTTATATGTTGTTTACTTGACATCGAGAGAGGTTGTCAACTTTCAATTTTAGATATAGTAAAAAAATAAATTAAAAAAGGTAAAAATGAAAGAGAAATAATACAACAGAAGTATTTACTAACCTGAGCTTAATCTGCTTATTGTTTTCTGGTCAATATTTTACATTTAGTAGACAAAATTTGTCAGGAATAAATTAACTGTCCTTGTAAACTACACTTGGAAATACCCTTTACTATATTTAGAATTCAAATCACTTTATGGTAATATGACCTGTATCTATTTTTAAAAAATCAATTAAATGAACATTTCTACAGTTTGTTTGGGGGAAAATGTCAAGGCATTGACCAGCAAATATCAATAGTCATACATCAGTGTAAAAAAAGATGAACAAATATATACATGATATAGTTTTTATTACCATTGCAGCATGATGATAAAACAACACAAAATATCAATAGACCTATTGTTGAAATGTGTTAAATTATTCAATGTTAAAATATTAGAAGGCATATTATATAAAGATCAGTCAGAATTGGTATGATTGGAAATGAGATAACTATCCACCAAGACCAAATGGCGATAGATATGAACTTCTACATTGGAATTTTTTCTTAGATATCAATATTTGCTTCAATAATTCTTTTGTGTGTTATCATTTAGTTTTATTAACAAATTTTATTATTGTATATTTGTACTTTGGGCCATGTGAGCTTTTGCCATCAATTGGCCTACATTGTCGTCCGCCTGCAAACACAACATAGCTGACATCGTTACAAATAGAATAATGGGCAAATACAAATTGTGTCTATTATATAAAATCCTCCTTAGATCTTAGATTTAGGAAAAATCTGACACAGCAAAACTGTTCAGTGCTGAGATCTTCCTACTGTCCCTTTTCTTCGAAAACTGGTAGAGAAATTTTTACTGGGTTAATTGCTCTTAAATGATGAAATTTATCAATTTTTTTCATCTTTGCCTATTATCTTGAAAACTTTAATAGCTTATCAGAAACTTTGAATAGCAAAACAGATCAGCATAAGACAAAATCTACTAATTTTTGTGTTATTATATGCTTATTATTTTAAAACTATATTGGGTGTATGAAATGACTATAAGGTGTTCATGTCCCGCTGGCAGGTTTCATCTGACCTTGACCTCATTTTTATGGTTCATTGCACAATGTTTAGTTTTTGTGTTTTGGTCTACTTTTCAGCTATTATAGGGCTGCTTTACTTGTTGTATGGAATGATTGTATCAAAGGTGTACATGTCTTTCTTGCAGGTTTCAATGACCTTCATGGATTATTTGTCATTAATAATTTTTCATGGTTTTGTCAGTTTATCTGCATACAGATACTATAAGCAATAGGTCAATCATAGTTGGTGTATGGAATGATTGTGAAGGTATAGATGTTTGTCTGGCAGGGTTCATATGACATTGACCTCATCTTCATGGTTAATCGGTCAATGTTAAGTTTTGTGGTTATGTCATGTTTATCAGATACTATAAGAATTAGGTCAACTATTTGGTGTTGGTCGTACATGTCTATCTGGCAGGGTTCATATGACCTGGACCCTATCTTCATGGTTTATTGGATAATGTTTATTTTTTGCAATTTGGTTAGTTTGTCAAGTATAATTAGCAATAGGACCAATACATCTGGTGTATGGAAACAACCTGATTAAAATACAGATTTTGTGTTCAAACTGTGCATACAAGGATCTGACAACACCCAGTAGTGGAGGGGGCATTAAGTTTTACCCTTGTCCGTCTGTACATACGTACGTCCGTACGTCCAAAAATTGGTTTCTGTTCTCTAACTTTAGTGTGCCTCAACCAAATGTTATGAAATTTATACACAATGCTTATTACCACAAAACACAGATCACTTTTGAATTTTGTTGGCGTCACTTTTATCAATCTAGAGTTGTGCCCCTTTACAAATGGAAAAATTGGTGAATTTTTCGTTTCCGTTCTCTAACTTTAGTTTGCCTCAACCAAATGTTATGAAACTTATACACAATGCTTATTACCACAAAACACAAATCAAGTTTGAATTTTGGTGGCGTCACTTTTGCAGTTCTAGAGTTATGCCCCTTTACAAATGGAAAAATTGCTGAAATATTTGTTTCTGTTCTCTAACTTTAGTTTGCCTGAACCAAATGTTATGAAACTTATGCACAATGCTAATTACCACAAAACACAGATCAAGTTTGATTTTGGTGGCGTCACTTTTACCCTTCTAGAGTTATGCCCCTTCACGAATGGAAAAATTGCTGAATTTTTCGTTTCCGTTCTCTAACTATTTTGTTTGCCTCAACCAAATGTTATGAAACTTATAAACAATGCTTATTACCACAAAACTCAGATCGAGTACAAATTTGGGTAGCGTCACTTTTACAGTTTTTGAGTTATGTCCCTTTATAACGTATGCAAGCGGGGGCATCATCTGTGTCCCATGGACACATTCCCCATTTATTCTTTCTGTTCTGGTAATAATTACATCCGCCAATGAAATTTCAACCTTCAAATGTATAAAGGTGTGTAACAAAACCAGAGGATCTTTAAAGGTCTTTAAAACATAAAGTAAAATGGAGCAATTTCAGATCCTTGTAAGCCAAACTTAGACACAGTATCTGTGTTTTAATCAGATTGTGTATGGAATGGTTGTAAGGTGTACCTAATTGTCGGGCTTAGTTCATCAGACCTTGATATAAAAATAAGGAGATGTGGTTTGATTGCCAATGAGACAACTATCCACCAAAGTTCAAATGAAGTGGATGTAAGCAATTATAGGCAACCATACGGCCGTCAACAATGAGAAAAAAATCATACTGTATAATTGGCTATAAAAGGCCTCGACATGAAAAATGTGAAACAATTCAATCAAGAAAACCAACTGCCTAGTTTATAACAAAATAATATACGAAAAACCAATAAAAAAAACCCAAAAAAAACCAGGCACATAAAGAATGTTATTAGGTTTGACCTCATTTTCAGTGATAGTTGATAATGATTATGTGATACTTGTAGTAAATCCTTCATATTACAGACTTTCAACATAAATTCAATCATGATAAGTATAGCAGGCGAGACATTTCAGTGTGTGCTCTCTTGTTTACACATTTTTTTGTGTTTTGGGCAAAATTAGAGAAGATAGAGAGATACTTTAAACAGAAAAAATAATCAGTAATACAAGATCAACAAAAAAGAGATTTTAGTCATGAATTATATTCTATAAAAATAAGGAAGATGTGGTATAATTGCCAATGAGACAACCCTCCACAAGAAACCAAATGACACAGAAATTAACAACTATAGGTCATAAAGCAGACTCTCAATCAACTGTTTTATATAAGCTATTTTTTTTTCTTGTGAGGTATAAAACATTAACGCAAATCAATCAATCAACCATTTTATATAAGCTTTGTCACATCAGTTAAATTATAAAATTCCACATAGTTAATTGAGATATAGAAAACAACATTCTGATCATTGTCAAATGTTTTGTCTTTTTTCCAGATAGCTTTTCCAAGTCTATGAAGGATTTACTTGGTGTTCCAGGTGATGATTTTGAGTCGGTTACATCCAATTCACCACAACCAGTTACACCAATAGAGATTGAAAGTGATTTGAGGCATGCCACAACACCATGTAGTTCACAAAATATTCCCAACACTACAGTGAAAGGTTCTGTACAATTTCAAGAAAAACTTACAGATTCAGACGCATCTTCCAAGATAGATAATTCTTCAGTAAATGAGGAATGTATTGAATATAACAAGTCTTTGTTGGTAAACCAGAAACCAGGAAATCAGAATAATGGTAATGTATATGCATACTATCATGTAATGTCATATTATATTAACTATCATATTAATATCAAAGTAACTTGCATAAATGTCGTCCAGTGTACAAACTTTCATGAAAATATATCTGAAATATTACCTAATTACATTTATTTTGCTGTATGAAATATTGCCTAATTTTATTACATTTATTTTGCTGTAAACAAATATTTTTATTTTTTTTGGGAACTTTCAGCTGGAACTTTAAACAAACATATCAAATATTTTTACATGTAGATTCATTTTAAAATATTCGTATGATAAAAAAATGTTTGGTATTTCGTGGGTTTAGGTGAACCATGAATTTGAATGTTCAATTAAATCAAATAACTACGGAATTGCAAGTTTTCTTCAATCCCAAAATTAGTACCAATGAAAAAAAATGAAACCATAATAATATTACTTCATCTTTATTTGTGATATATCACCCATTTAGTTGTTAGATGTTTTATCAATAAGTTCCTGTTTTTAGCTCACCATTCTGAAGGAACTGTGAGCTTTTGCCATCACTTGGCGTCCGTCGTAGTCCGTCTGGTGTAAACTATTTCAAACTTCTTCTCCTCTGAAACTACTGAACCAATTCCAACTAAACTTAAGCTGAATGATTCTAAGGGTATCTAGAATAAAGTTTGTGTTTTATTTTCTGTTTCATAAAAAAACATGGCTGCCATGGCTAAAAATAGAACGTAGGGGTAAAATGCAATTTTTGGCTTAATTCTCATAAACCAAATCATTTAGAGCTAATCTGATGAGAGGTAAAAATGTTTATTAGGCCAAGCTCTGTCAGCCCTGAAATTTTCAGATGAATCTAACAACCCATTGTTGGATTGCTGCCCCTTAATTTGTAATTTTAAGGAAATTTTGCAGATTTTGGTTATTATCTTGAATGTTATTAATGATAAAGATAAACTGTAAACAGCAAAAATGTTCAGCAAAGTAAGATCTACAAATAAGTTCGATGACCAAAATTGTCAATTGTCCCCTTAAGGAGTTATTGCCCTTTAAAATCAATTTTTCACAATTTGTTCATTTAGTTAGCTTACTTTAAAAAACTTCTCCTTTGAAATGTTGAATCAATTTCAGCCAAACTTGGGCTGAATGAGTTTCAGAGTATCTAGTATAAATTTTGTATTTTATTTTCTTGTACGTCAAGAAACATAGCCACTATGGCTAAAATGAAACATGGGGTAAAATGCATTTCTTTGATTTTGAAGAAAATATGACAGATACAAAGAACATTTCAATGGAAGTTTTAAGCCATTCATTAATATATATTGAAAAGCAAAAATAATCATTGATGAAAGATTTAAGCAAAAAATTACAGGTAAGCGATTCAGGCTCTTGAGAGCCTCTTGTTATATTTACAGATATAGAGGTGTATATTGGAAATCTTGAAGAATCTGTGACAAAGGTAAATCTTATATATCAAATAATTAATATTGTGCTCTGCCTCAAAGGTTCCATTGAACCCAATAGCACATCATATTTTCACCTCTTTAGATCATCTGGCCCAAGGGCCTATGTCAGCTTTTGTCTCATTTGGCCTCCAGAATTCATTGATATTTGAATAATTTTCATATACTTTAACCAAAAAAAAAACCCCTGGGGGACCAAAGGACCAATTGAAACTATACTGCATCCTCCTTTGTAAGGTCGGAATTATGCAGTTATGTATACCTTCACATGGCCACTATTGCTTAACCCTTTCACCGATAGCTACCCAGACAGAAGCTACTCTGAGACGATGGCTTCCCTGGCTACTATTACTCAAGTGGGAGATCTTCATAATAAATGTCAATAAAAACTTGTCTGTAGTATTTTGTGTCTTTATTTTATTCACTAACACCATGTTCACAGTTTTGTTCATGTTTTGATAATTTTTTCTTCATAAAATATTCAAATTTTCAAATTTTCGGCATTATCTAGGTGAAATTCTCAAAATTCTACTTTTTGACCCAAAATCGTAATTTTTTAACCCAAAACGGCAAAATTTTGAAAAATTTAATGAGGCTGTACAAATTCCTTACACTGAACGATGTCCATTTCAAGTGTTTTGTACATGAAACGACATTTTATGTCAAAAAAGTGTACTAGTTTGGTTTCAATTCTTCCATATTCTTTCAAAAAAAATGTTCCCTCATTTTAAATTCTCGTAAATTCCGTAAATTTCCTCTGATTTTGACACGGTTTTCAACAAACGGAAGCGCCATGTTTACACTTTCATCCTGGTATTCAACAAAGAAAGATAACTCGTGTTTGCACTGTTTTGAGCGGGAAATATAAAAGAGGTATTCCGATCCCGGTAAAACGGGACTCCTCGTCAGCTGTCTGAAGCGTGAATCCCGGTAAACCGGGACTCATCGGCGAAAGGGTTAAAACTGCCTTTACAGATAAAAAGGAATTAGAAGAATTCTGTATATGTTCTATACAGCGACATGCAGCCAGATTCATCATGAGTGACTACAGGAGAGATAGCACTGTAATATCAATGCTCCAACAACTTAATCTAGAAAGCCTGCAGTCACGAAGATATAAGGCCCGCTGCACCATGATATTTCGAGTCGTCAACCAACTGATTGAAATACCATCACTATCGCTACAGCCGGTTCACCTAGCAACCAAGGAACACACACAGAAGTTGCAGCAAGTAGCTTGCTCCACCAGAAGCTACCTGGACTCATTCTTCCCCGCTGGTATAGTCCTTTGGAACTCCATGCCACACGCCATGGTCGTGGCTGATTCTCTTGACTTCTTCAAGGAGAGAATCAGCAAATATAGCTTCCAAAAACCAACTTGTTTTTATCCAGCTTTTAACCTGTCTCACATGACTCCGATTTGAACAGTATATAGTCCATTTGTGTGATAATGCTCCAGAGGAGCCCGGCACAGTAAAGAAAGAAGAAGATTTACCAAATACTATCAAACCTTGAGGAAATGGTAAATCCCCCTTTTGAAATTATAGTTGATGACTCCAGCTGCACTCTCTTTACAATTCTTGAATCTAAATAACCAGCTGATTGCTTCTGAACTTAAGGAGATTTAATAGGTTCAATAGATTTGAAGAATGGCCATTGGTGTCTTTAAAGTATCTAGTTCTCTGATAGACAGGTTAAAAATAAACAAAAAAAGATATCTATGAATATAGGGAAGGTCATTTCCTTTTAATGGGATAAAATGAATTGTCCACCAAAGACTGTTCTTTATAACAATAAGTCATTTCTCATTTCAAACTTCAAGGACAAATATTTTTGAGACCTATGTATTTGGTGCTAAGTGGTACCATGTATTGCAGTATCATATCAAAAATCCTGTTTAACCTTTTTGGGAAATTATATTTGCATCTTTTTTCTCGCTTCAAGGACAGTAAGCATAAAGTTTTTGAGGTTATATCAGTTTATCAGCTATATTTGCATGTGTTGTAAGGTTTAAATATCAGTGTGCCTGAATTCATGTGACTCTGAACCATCTTCATGGTTTTAATGTGCTACATTTTGTTATTTTGTGTAGGTCTGTTTTGTAATCACTATGAGCAATATGTCAACTGTATTTGGTCTATATAATCATTGCAAGCTAGACATGTCTATCTGACAGGAGTCACCTGACCATGACCTTTTATAATGATCCAGTTATTAAAATTAGGTTTCAGTTTCAGTCCCTTAGTTGATATATCCATAGAAACATGTCTTTAGTTCATTTTAAGGATTATAAGATGGATGTTAGATTTTTATGCCTCACCTACGATAGTAGTAGGGGCATTGTGTTTTCTGGTCTGACTCCGTTCGTTCGTCTGTCCGTTTATTCGTCCGTCCGTCTGTCTGTCTGTCCCGCTTAAGGTTAAAGTTTTTGGTCAAGGTAGTTTTTGATGAAGTTGAAGTCAAATCAACTTGAAACTTAGTACACATGTTCCCTATGATATGATCTTTCTAATTTTAATGCCAAATTAGAGTTTTGACCCCAGTTTACGGTCCACTGAACATAGAAAATGATAGTGCGAGTGGGGCATCCATGTACTATGGACACATTCTACTTGTGATTAGGGCAATTCTATATATGGTGTATAGAATCAATTTAATTAAGATATAAATGGCTGTGCAATGAAAGTCATGTGACTTTGACCTTAGTTAATGATGCAGTAACCAAAGTTGTTTTCATGCTAACCTCATCATAGATACTAGGATTAAAATTTTGTACGACAGACACATCTTTCGTCTATAAAAGACTCATCAGTGACTCTCGAATCAAAAAGGTTAAAAAGGGTAAATAAAATACAAAGTTGAATAGCATTGAGGTCCCAATTTTCAGTTCCTTTAAATGAATGATCAACAACCTTTGATTGATAGAATCAGTGTAAGGTGTACATCAATTAAATGAGTCGTAGATCAAGTTATAGTTTTATTTTTTGGATTTAATTTTTTTTAAGAGAAATTTTTATATATTGATTTCACTGCTTTTCCTATTAAGATATTTTTTTCATATATATATATTGAAGGCTGATGTTGAAGAATTAGTAAGAGATTTTCACCCTACGATTGTGAGAGTACGAACGAATAAGGATGACAGAAGAAAAGTGTAGGTACTTAGTTTAATATATGATTTAGTTTTATTGAATAAGAAGAAAAGATGAAACTGCTGTGTAAAATATTATTTTGTGGACAACTCTCCACTATTTTATCTCGATGACTTGATGTGCCTGTATGAATTATCATAATCACTTATCATTTATTTATTTTATTTATTTTCAAACTTTTCAGAAATCTTCACCCTTGTAAATAATAGGTTGATACCCTGAAATTGTACTCATTTACCTTATATTGTTTTATACTGCGGCTGAGATTGCTGCCATTATAGTAATTAAAAAGTTGATACCAAATACACTTATTTTCCATCCCTATTGGAGCCCCTGATTGTAAAGAAATGTTTTGCTGATAAGGAGTATAAGCTGCACATAGATATTACAAAGAATTGCAACTATATTTTGAAATGCTTTTCCTGGAAATCGTATCAAATTTTTTAAGCTCGCTTTGCCCTATGGGCCACATGAGTCATTGCCATCACTTAACGTCCATCCTTGTCTTTGTCTGTTGTAGTAAACTTTAAAAAAAATCATCTCCTGTCAAAAAAAACCTCACACTGAAGGATCATTTGGGTATCTAGTATAAAATCCTATCTTTTTTGTCCTTGCCAAAAAAGCAACACTTCAACCATGGCTAAAAGAAGAACATAACAGTTTGATAAAAGTAATTGTCTTGTATCTTTAAAACCACATAAGAGAAAATCTTACTGGCATGCTCAGAAAGTCAAGATCTAACTCTCTTTCATTGCTAATGAAATTCTCAGGTGACTCCTAAAATGAGTTATTGCCCTTTATATGACAATTTGGACAAATTTTAGCATCTTGACCTGATATATTAAAAACTGTAATAGATTGATAGAAACTGTAAACAGCATAAATTATCATCAAGGTAAGATATAAAGATACGTCACATGACCAAAAATGTGAAAATGAATATCAAAATGGCATATTTTTGTCGTGAGTGATTCAGGTTGTTAAGAGCCAGTAGTCTTAAAAATGATTCTGCATTTCCACTGAAATGTCTGTTTTATTGATATACCATACAATGTTTAAGGGATTACTGAATCCTTTTTAGATGTATAAATTTTTCCAGTATGTGTATTATATCTCAAACATTAAAAAATAAGATTTTGATGCATGGTGTCGTCATGATGTCACATTTGGTTGGCTTTTGAGGATGATGTTTTTCAAATGGATGACAAATATGATTTCATTGTGCTCAGAAGTTAAAGGAGATGGTTTATGAATATATTATTGTAAAACCTTTGTCATTCTGATTTTGAAATAAGGTAAAAAAACAAAGGGAACCATTTTCTAGAACATTCCTACCAAGAAAAGAACCAAATTAGTAAGTAAAAAATAATCAATCACAATCTTAAAGACTCAGACAGAAAAAAATAAAGAAATTCTTATTTGAAATAATCAAATCACATATGACCAATTAGTAAACATGTATTCTGAAAATATTTTTTCTTTCAGGTTTGCTTTTGTTAAATTCAGACAGTTGTCCCATGCAGAAGATTGTGTTAGAACAATAAATGATACCTGTCACAGAGGAAGATTAATAAAAGTTCGTTTTGCTGGAGCATTATTTGATCAAGGTATTACACCAGGGCTTATGGATATTAAACTTAACTTATTACTCACAGTGCTAAATTGTGCTCAACAAACAAAATCCAGTACCTTGATTGGTTGATTTCTGAGTCTGTAAGATAATCTCTTTCAAAATGTTTATGACAGCAAGGGATGATCCCAGATACCAACAGTTTCCTTGCCATATCTAATGAACCCTTTAACCAATGCTTTTTCAAATTTTAATATGTTGTTACTGATTACAAAATGAAGTTCAAGTTTGATATTGACTGACTTCACTCTTGCCGTTCATATGTAATGGTCCAAGATGGATTGGAAACTGGCTTAAAATTATGTCGTTTCTATGCAATATCTTATAAATCCTTTAACCAATGCTTTTCAATTTTTAATATGTTGTTCCTGATTACAAAATGAAGTTCAAGTTCGATATTGACTAACCTCATTTTTATACGCCCGTCAATTTTTGACTGGACGTATTATGGTATACAAATGTCCGGTGTCCGTCCGTATGTCTGTCCATCTATCTGTCTGTCTGTCCGGCGTAAACATGTCGCACCGTAACTTGAGGATGACTTATCCAAATTTCATTAAACTTAACATAGTTGTTTCTTATGATGGTCAAACGATCTGTATACTTTTTGGTGAAAATGAGATTAAAACTTCTTGAGTTACGGGACTTTGTAACTAAAACAGGTGTGTGTTTTTTTTCACATGTCACGCCGTATCTCAAAAACAATTTATGATTATTGCTTAAAACTTTACACACTTCTTAGTTATATTAATCTTAAGATCTGTATACTTTTTGGTGATGATTCAAAATTTTATTTTAGAGATATGGAGTATTTTGTTAAAAAAGGGGGAGGGGTTTTTCACATGTCGCGCCGTATCTCAAAAACAATTTATGATTATTGCTTAAAACTTTACACACTTCTTAGTTATATTAACCTTAAGATCTGTATACTTTTTGGTGATGATTCAAAATTTTATTTTTGAGTTATTGAGTATTTTGTAAAAAAAGGGGGAGAGGTTTTTCACATGTCGCGCCATATCTCAAAAACAGTTTATGATTATTGCTTAAAACTTTACACACTTCTTAGTTATATTAATCTTAAGATCTGTATACTTTTTGGTGATGATTCAAAATTTTATTTTAGAGATATGGAGTATTTTGTTAAAAAAGGGGGAGGGGTTTTTCACATGTCGCGCCGTATCTCAAAAACAATTTATGATTATTGCTTAAAACTTTACACACTTCTTAGTTATATTAATCTTAAGATCTGTATACTTTTTGGTGATGATTCAAAATTTTATTTTAGAGATATGGAGTATTTTGTTAAAAAAGGGGGAGGGGTTTTTCACATGTCGCGCCGTATCTCAAAAACAATTTATGATTATTGCTTAAAACTTTACACACTTCTTAGTTATATTAACCTTAAGATCTGTATACTTTTTGGTGATGATTCAAAATTTTATTTTTGAGTTATTGAGTATTTTGTAAAAAAAGGGGGAGAGGTTTTTCACATATCGCGCCATATCTCAAAAACGATTTATGATTATTGCTTAAAATTTTACACACTTCTTAGTTATATTAATCTAAAGATCTGTATGCCTTTTGGTTTTGATTCAAAATTTTATTTTTGAGATATTGATTTTTGTCAAGCCTTCGACTTTTGTCGAAAAAGCGAGACATAGCGATCCTACATTCCGTCGGCGTCGTCGTTGTCGTCGGCGGCGTCCACAAATATTCACTCTGTGGTTAAAGTTTTTGAAATTTTAATAACTTTCTTAAACTATCCTGGATTTCTACCAAACTTGGACAGAAGCTTGTTTATGATCATAAGATAATATTCAAAAGTAAATTTTGTAAAAAAAAAAATCCATTTTTTCAGTATTTTAGTTATAAATGGACTTAGTTTTTCTGCCAGGAAACATTACATTCACTCTGTGGTTAAAGTTTTTGAAATTTTAATAACTTTCTTAAACTATCCTGGATTTGTACCAAACTTGGACAGAAGCTTGTTTATGATCATAAGATAATATTCAAAAGTAAATTTTGTTAAAAAAAAAATCCATTTTTTCCGTATTTTACTTATAAATGGACTTAGTTTTTCTGTCAGGAAACATTACATTCACTCTGTGGTTAAACTTTTTGAAATTTTAATAACTTTCTTAAACTATCCTGGATTTGTACCAAACTTGGACAGAAGCTTGTTTATGATTAAAAGCTAGTATCTAGAAGGAAATTTTGTTCCATTTTTTCCGTATTTTACTTATAAATGGACTTAGTTTTTCTTCCAGTTAACATTACATACAGTCTGCAGTTTAAGTTTTTAAAACATTTATTAGATTCATAAACTATCCTGGATTTTTACCAAACTTGGACAGAAGCTACTTACAATCAAAAGATAGTATAGAGAGGAATATTTTTATTAATTTTTTTCCTCATTTTTGTTGAGCCTGTGATTAACAGCAAAAAGTAGGCGAGACACTGGGTTCCGCGGAACCCTTACAAATTTTTTATTTTAAAAGGGGGGTTTTCACATGTCTTGCCGTATCTCAAAAACGATTTATGATTATTGCTTAAAATTTTACACACTTCTTAGTAATATTAATCTAAAGATCTGTATGCTTTTTGGTTTTGATTCAAAATTTTATTTTAGAGATATTGAGTTTTTTGTAAAAAAAAAGAGGGTTTTCGCATGTCACGCCGTATGTCAGAAACTATTTATGCTTATTGCATAAAAATTCACACACAAGACGACGGGCGTATCATGCGCTCATGGCGCAGTTGTTTATTGCCGTTCAGATGTAATAGTCCTAAATAGATTGGAAAGTTGCTTTTTGTTGTTTCAGTGCAATATATTATGAACCCTTCAACCAACGCTTTTCAAATTTTTTGTATATCGTTACTGATGACAAAATAGAGGTCAAATTCAATATTTATGATTTTCACTTCAAATATTCAGAAAGTAATGGTCTTTGATAAATAGGAAAATGGATGTTGTTATTAAAAACAAAATGGAGTTCAAGTTTGATAAAAAAAAAAAAATATAAAAACATCAAATACTCAGGTATCTTATTCAAGCCCTTTTCAACACTAGTAATGACATATAAATATTACAGCTGTTAATAATTGTTAGTTATATACATACAATATTACATACTTACAACTTTATATAGCATGTCAGAAATATCAATTTAGAAGCTTACCATTAAGATTATCAAACATAATCAATTAACAATAATATACTGTTTTTAAAATTTCATTAAACATTTAAAGAGAAGAAAGAAGATGGTGGTTGCCAAGTAAAAACATCAGCATCAAGTCTTACAACAGAGAATGACTCCTGCTATAATGAGTTAAAACCAGATGTACATGGACGTTACAGTCTGTGTTATCCTAGAGATAATGAACCACCTGGAACATCATCTCAGGTACCAGTATAATGTAATAAATAATGAGTTATAGCAGGTTCATATGGATGTTTTCCTAGAGATAATGAACCATCGAGAACATCATCTGAGGTACCAGTATAATGTAATAAATAATGAGTTATAGCAGGTTCATATGGATGTTTTCCTAGAGATAATGAATCATGGAGAACATCATCTGAGGTACCAGTATAATGTAATAAATAATGAGTAATAGCAGGTTCATATTGGTGTTATAACCTATGGTATCCTAGAGATAATGAACCACCTGTGTGAGTTTTTGATCACTCAGAAGTGCGATTGTGACCTTGTGACGCTATATTGTTGATAGCTACGCTGAAGTGCAATGGTGGTTACGCTGAAGTGTGATGAATTTATACATAAATCAGATTTTCAATTTGTTTCATGTTCACATCTCGATGTAGAAATCAATTTGTTTGTTAGAAGTAGCTTTTCGTTTTTTCTTTATGTAAAACATGGAGAGTTTAAACCATTTAATTTAAAACAGTCATTGAATTTCCAGTCCTCACTGACTGTAACTTTGTAGTGTACATTATACTTTGTAAATAGCTTAGATAAAAAAAGCAGCCGTTCATTCAACCTTTCAGAACTTGACGCTTCTATTTTTTTTTTTAAAGAAGTACAAATTGCAATGATTAAAAAAGAAGTGTGGTAATTGTTTGAAATGGAAATACTTCTTAGTCAGATCGAAACAAATTAAGCGAAAACTGTATACGGTTGATGTGATTAATAACAAGGAATAAGATACATCACCGGTGTACTGCAACTGGAGAAAATAATGCATGTTTTGTATTCATATACCAACTTATAAAAAATCAAGCAATCATAATAGTTGAACGTCTAAGTTTTAAACTAGCCATCATGTGTCTAATAGACCATCGCATATCAGTGACAGAACCATCGCACATCAGCGAAGGGCCATCGCACTTCGGCGCATACCATCACACTTCAGCGTGACCATCGCACTTCAGCATCCCCATCGCAACTCTGAGTCCTACATATTTATATATATATAATATGAATCATTTGTTAAGGGTCCAGAGTTTCTTAACAGTCCAGATTTAACACTATGACAAGAAGGGTTGATGTCATAAATTTCAATACAAATGAAAAATATAACACATTCTATTAAAGATTGATACATTTTGTGTATAAATTCTTTGCTCTATATCCAAGATTATTCAGGATTTATGGCCCTTCATTGCTATAACAAAGACACTAATAAATGTAATAAAAATCCAATAAACTGTCATTTTGTAGACTGTTGCTGAGAAGTTCAATAGGATTAATGACTTCAGAGAGGTTCATTTCACTCCAGGGTAAGTAACGGTAATTCATAGTATACCACTATCCATTTGTTAAAGACTGTTTGCTAAATTTTGGAATATCATATGTTAGATTAAATTACATTTTTATTAACATTGTTTTTCCCTTATCCTTGACAAACAATATGTTATATTAAATGAATTACATTTTTATTAACATTGTTTTTCTGATTAAGTAACATCTGTATTATCCTCAAAATGTCATGGGTTCTTTGCCCACTTATGGCAATGCTGATGCTTTCGTTGGAGTGACCTAAGTTGTATCAAGATCTCTTCACATTATCAGATTTATTAAAAACAAGGCTTAAGGTGGTACCAAACACCTTGACTAAAATTAAGCTGGCTCATTTAAATTTTATAAAATTTTGACAAAATAATTACTTTGACCCTTTGACAAAAAAAGTAAAAATTTCAAAAAACTTGAACCACACACTTTATCAGAAATATTTCATTGGATATATAGCAGTTTGACAAACACTAATTTTGATCATTGAGAAGAATATTTCCTTAACAGTAGAACGTGATTAAAATGTTCAGCTGATTTTTACAGAGTTAACTCCCTGTAGTGTTATGTACAACCTTAAAAGATACCCCAACTTAATGATATTGTTCTATTTGGATTCAAGGTCCACAGTTTTTATCTTTCAGTATATTTCTTGATTCAAAGCCTGTCACTAAGCTTAAGTTATCTAAGGATAGGGCACTGGACGTTAAGCAACCAACAATCAATCAATCAAAGGATAGGGTGTTAAAATTGGCAATAAGATTACAGGAAGACACTTTCAGATCATCCTAACTGTCCAATCTTTTAAAAACTATTAAGAATGAACAATTTGGTATATGAAAACTCTATTGATAATTTCATCAGATTGTTTGATCCAATTTAATAGAATAGAAAAACAAAGGATACGGGGTATCCATCCATGTCACAAAATCAGTTTGCCCAGCAAAAAGCACAAAAGGCAAAGGAACAGTGCTTTTATTACTGTTCCTCATCTTAAAGTCGCAGTAAGGCTTTCAACACAGAGCAAAAAAAACAAACTCTCACTTTAGTGCATGTTTAAGACAGCCCCTAACACCTGATTGAGCAGATTTTTTTGCAAAAATAGTTTGAATAGACTGTAAGATGTAATACCACCTATTTGAGCAACTCTTCCACCAAAACCATTAAACACATTGCTAATTTATAGGGATTGATAAAAATTTGAATGTGATAAATTAATGATCGTCATTTTTTGTAAACAATAAATTTTTTTTTTACCTATATTGTCACATATTCTTCAACAAAAGTAGAATATTTCAGATTCTAATCTAAATCACAAAAAGTCTACAAAAATTGTAGAGACTGTGAAAGATCTTGCGATACCACTAAATTCTCTACAATAAAACATTTGTGATTAAAGACAACCACTGACCTGGGACATGAAGAAAGTATATGAATATGGTAACCATTTTTATTGCCCTGCAACAAAATTGTCAGGGTCATATAGTTTCACATGTAATCTTATCCGTTATTCCGTCATTCCGTCGTTCCGTCATTCCGCAACGAATAGTTATACAGACTTTTTTTCTAAACACCTTTGCATATTGAGCTAATTTTTAAGCAGTTAAGCTGCTTTATGCGAGCACCCTAGATTTGTGTTCTACCCAATAAATGCTGAAATATGTGCCATTGTTATTATCTGGCTGGCTATTATGTTATTTATAACTTATTGAACACTTTTTTCATACTTTTAATTCTGGAATACAACAAATATGACCAGAAAAACCTTAAATGATCGTCAAACCACCCAAAAGTTTTGAAGTTGCACATAGGAAGTAGTGCTCAATAGAAATCCTTATGTAGTTTATTATCCCCTGTGCTTTTGGCCAAGATGTCAAAGAACAATTGCATGAATTATTTCATCGCCGAAAATCTCTAATTACAAGTCGTTTACAGTTGCCAAATGGCACAAAGCGCAGGAATATTGTATAACGGCTGTGACTAATATGACACGGAGTTGAAGTCTCAGTTGGCGGTAATTTTAACTTCGTCGACAAAACGTAAATCAAGGACGTTTTAAATTTGGTGATTTCTGATAATAATCATTTTGTTCAACCGCTAGCTTTATACCGAAAATCGCCAACATGTTATGTGTAAATCCGAGTAAATCGTATCTGACTGACAAAAACAACATTGAAAAACAATGGATGCCATAAACCGGAAATGAAGACAATTATAATACCGGATCTAATTCCGGGGGCGGATAAGGGTAATTCCGGGTTTGCCGATCAAATACAATAAAAATATAATAATTCCAGGCATGAGACAAAATACATCTATCATGATGAAATATAAACTCTAGAATTGAAAACCAAAGATATATTGAAAAGAAAGAAAAAGCAGGAAATATTTTATACAGAAACTCAAAATTACTTTTAGTTCACAAATTTTCATGTCAAAAACCAATAAAATGTGACAGTATTTTCCTTATCATTAATAAATATTGATATTACATGTAGATGTTTTTATTGTTTAAACATATTACTACAATTCCATGAGGTAATTTCTTCTCAATTTTGAAGGGCCTATAAAAATCTGGAAGTTTCTTACTTTATTTTCACAGAGGAACTAGCTAATATAATATATAGTGCAACTAGATATGATACACTTAAACAGTTTTGAATTTGAACTGTTTAATATAATGGTATAATTAGTAATAAATAATCAATTGTTGAGACAACACACCCACCCACAGTGATACCCTCAGCCTCCCTCAGCCTTCCTAATACAAAAAAAAAGATTATTTGAATTCATAAATTAATATACAAGACAATTACATTTATTATTAAACATGTAAAACGACAGTGACACTGACAATGAAACAAGCTAACTTAACACCAAAAGCACATTAAAGTATCTTACTGAGTTATGAACTATTTCAAGTAAAAGCAGGACCTGGAATTTAGGTTGTGGACCTTTCAGTTTGGAGTGTCAAAGGTCCTGGACTGTCCAGTACCAAATGTTAATTTTAACCCCTGCATTCACAGTAAAGCGATTTTGACGTGTATTGCAATTCCAAGTAGAATTTACTTTTGGACATTAAACGTTTCGAATGCGTATTAAACTAATTCAAATCAGTTAATAATGTAAATCGAATTCGAATTATGTGTGAACGCAGCATTGATATATCTAAGAAATGAAGAATATTAAAAAAAGATGGACAAAATATTTGTATTAAATTTGTTGCAATTTTTGTCTTGCCTTGACAGAGTCAAAAAGTGAGACATATATATATATATATAGGCATGCTGTTTTGGCGGAATCAACAATGTATTAGTTTGTGATTTTGTGATAAGGTCTGGTTTCTGGTAGGTCAATGACATTTTGTAAGTAGTTGTGTTAGCATAGGCACATCTCATTACCATAGAGAATATTTGGCCCCACCCCCTTAGTCATGGTCTATTGACTTTGAAACTTTGCATAGTTTACATGTATATGTTTGTGATTAGGTCAGTTTAGGGGGAACCACTAGTGGTAGGTCAATGATATTTGGTGTTCAGTTGTATAAACTTTTTCAGTTCTAATTTCCATTGAGATTATTTGGCCCCGCCCCCTGAATCATGCTCTTTTTACTTGGAAACTTATGTTACTTTGAAATTTCATTTATTAGTTTTCGATTAGGTTAGTATTAGGGAAACCAATAGTGGTAGGTCAATGATAATTGGCATGTAGGTGTAGAAGCATTAGTACATCTCATTTCCATAGAGGATATTTGGTCCTCACCCCTCAGTCATATGCATGATCTATTGACTTTGAAACTTTTACTTAGTTTACATGAATGAGTTTGTGATTATTATGATTATGTCAGTTTAAAATTACCAGTAATCTTAAGTCAAAGCTATTTGGTATGCGAACATATTGGTATTCAAAAGTTTCATTTCCATGGGTATTATATAACCCCACCCCCTCATTATGGTTCATTGACTTAGAAATTGAATTTGTGTTAAGGTTTGTTTAAAGGGAACGACTTATGAAAAGTCAATGGTATTTGGTTTGCAGTTGAACAAGCATTGGCACCTTTCATTTCCATAGAGATTGTTTAGCCTTGTACCTTCAGTCATGGTTCATTGACTTTTAATATCACTTACATGTTAAAGTATTACTATTTTAAGTGTAACATTTGCATTATCAAAATAACAAATAGGCAAAACATTACGTTGTGTTAATAGCTTATTATAGATTAGACATGTGTAATTATTTTAAAAATAAGGAGATGTGGTATGATTGCCAATGAGACAACTATCCACCAAAATTCAAATGAAGTGGATGTAAGCAATTACAGGCAACCGTACAGCCTTCAAAAATATATGTTGCATCATTGCTAGGCCATTATAACAACATCAGCATTTCTTGTAATACTAGTATACAAGAAAATTACACCATTTCAGATAGTTTCAGGTATGATTTGATAATTGTGCATAGTGGCACCAGCTGATCCAACTAAAAGCACTAATATGGCATATTCAAACTCTAGTACATAGTGGAATTAAACCATACACCACTGTTGGACGCCATAATTGAAATTATTATTCTGAAAAGAATATTCCTCCATGCAGCCTGCAACAATTAGCAAAACCTATACTGCATAGTAAGATATAAACGACCACGAAATGACAAATGTAAAACAATAAAACTAAAGCAGCCTGATTTATGTACAAAACAATTATGAAAAATAAATATGATATACAGCAACAATCAACAATCACCAAATTACTGGGTCCTCACTATGGACAGGTACATACAGAATGTGGCAGGTTAAACATGTTAGCTGGCACAAAACTCTCCCCTAACATGCGACAGTGTATGTGCATAATCTCAGACATTAAATCTTTAAAAAATAAATTGGAAATAACTTTTGAAAGTGGTAGGATTGGATAGCAGAAACATTACAGTACAAACATTATTTGATACTTGAGAAATAGCTGAGATATATAGATTCTACCACTGCATCGAGTGTGATACGATATTTATCCACTCGAGACAGTTAAATTTTCAAATTTAAAACGCGAGGCTCGCCGAGCGTTTTAGATATTTAAAATTTAACTGTCGAGAGTGGATAAATATCGTATTACACGAGATTTGGTGGTGGAATCTGTTTCTCTAATGATTTTCAAACAATATGCAGGCAAACTTATTCCGTCTTTTCGAATGATCTGTAAAAAGATGTGTTCTTTCTATGTGACGTCATCAGGCATGGTCGCCTTTTTTCATGCCGTCACAATAGGAAATTCAGAGGAAAGCAAGTAAATTCGACGTCATAATCGGATTTTAACCAATGAAGAACTGAGATCAAACGAACCACACGTTGATTAAATTTTTTTTATACAATGGGTGCAGAAAGGGATAAATTGACGAAGAATTAGAGAAAAATATTTTCATCCATTCTTCCACTATATTCATCTTAACTTCTGCCAAGTTTACCTTTGATTTTTTTAATTAACTGCCTATAGCGCCTTTGGTGCTTTGATTAATATGTGTGATGAGTTAGAAATTGAGTTTACGTCTGGTTCTGCTCCACTGATTTGTGCTGAAATTACAGGTTTTGGACTTTGAAAATTTCGTTAATAACAGTTATACAGACATTCATTCTCAAATTTCCACTCCTTAACATGGCTTTTTTTGCGAGAGATGGAATTCGTGTCATTCCGACACATCAAGTTTGCCAAAATTTTCAAGTCATTTAACCTTTATTTCAAATTCGAATTTTAATATGAATTTAGAGAGTTATGCACTACAACACTATATAAATTAGAGACACCAATAGTTGAAAGGTGTTCCAATGGAAGATACAACTCAAAGTAAAACCAAACAAGGAAGGAGACTAGATGCATCAATAGGATAATCATCGCCTGCTTTGCAAGAAATGCCCCTGTTTGATTCCATACCCATAATTGGTTAAATCACAATTCAGACAACTATTCTGGTAGGCTAGATATGTACAATTACATGTCACAAGTGTTTTGAGATCGAGATACATTATATCAATCAACCATTTCTTAATGGTGATTGAAAAAAAATGTTGTACTTCAGATTTACTTTTTTTTTGAGCAGTAAAACAGGATAGTAGTTCAAATTCTTTAATGGTTTTCAGTAGAATAGTTCCATGTTTTTACTATCCCTGAAGAATTTAGTAAATTAAAGTGAGAATACAGTACAGAAGTAACAAAATATGATAAAAGTTTAAAGTCTTAAGGTAATAGTGGTTAGCTGTATTTTTATAATTCAACAACTCACCAGGGGTTTTCAGTATTATCAAGTAACTGTTTCTCTCATGTCAGGGATTATCTTATAACTACTGTAATAGTTCTCTATCATTTCAGTATGATCTTTGTGAGGTTTATATCTAAGAGAGGAGCAGTGGAAGCATTTGAAAAGTTTTATAAAGAGCTGGATATGAGAGTAGCTTATCATAGGAAAAAACAGGTCGATGCAGCAAAACAATGGAACAAGGGATCATTACAGAGTAAATCCTTTAAGGAAAATAGTACAGAATATTCAAACAAATGGCCATCACATACCCATAATTTGATGCATCAAAATACCACAGAACATTCAAACAAGCAATCTTCGCATTCAGAAACATGTACTTCAGAATATTCAAACAATTGTTCATCACATGGTAGACCTCCTTATACAGTCACTACAAAACCTAAAACAATGAGCATGTTATACAGTCATTCTACTGATCTAGAGGATACAGATAATGAGACACCATCTCATCATGAACAAACTAGTCATGGAGCATGTGCAAGTTGGGGGAAAGAACAAGAGACAGAATATCAGAAATGGTCAATGCCAGGTGAAAATTCAGATGATAGAGAGTCATGTGATGAGAAAAATAAAAAATATTTCTGTAAGTCAAATATGATAAAGTTTATATCATAATTTTACTTTTATCCTTGGTTAAAAACAATGAAAACAGACACTTAATAAATTTCATGCCTTTTCTGAATTTACTTTCATCAGGAAAGCTGAATATTAAAAAGCTAAGTATGTATAAGAACCGAAACAGTTGAAGAGCAATATGACCAAAAAGGACCTAAAAATAAATTCCAAATCAATCTAAGGTCAACTTTGTCTTAGGAAGTTGAAACCTTAGTTTCTAAACAATTTTTAAATTTGTTAACGAACAATATAAGAAAGATTTGCTATAAATCATGTCAGTACCAAAGTATGATTTAGAAAGTTTTAATCTAAATAATAAATAAGAAAAGAGAAGGAAGTGAAAATCAGTTTTTGGTATGATGCTGATGTTAAAGCTATTGATTATGAATCAAACAAAATAATGTTTTAAGTAAAAGGAGGCAAAAGATACCAAAGGGACATTCAAACTCATAATTCGAAAATAAACTGAAAACACCAAGGCAAAGAAAAAAAATAAACCAAACAGACAAACAACAGTACACAATACACACCATAGAAAACTAAAGACTGAGCAACACGAACCCCACCAGAAACAGGGGGTGATCTCAGGTGCTCCGGAAGGGTAAGCATCAATTAGAGAGCAACCCAACTGCACAAATGAATCAATATTAAATTGCTACCTTTCAGTCTACTGATGAACAAGTCCTCATAGGTTCTTCAAGCCAAGTATTTGTCTCTGTGTTCTCTAGAGCAATTATTACAGAATCCATTCCAATTAAAAAAAATGTACTTATTATTGCAAATTTTAAAATATATTCTAGTTCTTGATTATTATTATAGATAGAGAAAAACTGTAACAGCAATTATGTTCAGCAAAGTGAGATCTACAAATAAGTCAACATGACCAAAATTGTCAATTGACCCCTTAAGGAGTTATTGCCCTTTATAGTCAATTTTTAACAATTTTTCTTAATTTTTTATAATCTTTTACAAAAATCTTCTCTGAAGAAACTGCCGAGACAAATTTAACCAAACTTGGCCACAATCATCATTAGGGTATCTAGTTAAAAAAATGTGTCCGATGACCCCGCCTGCCAACCAACCTGGCCAACATGGCTAAAAATATAACATAGGGGTAAAATGCAGTTTTTGGCTTATATCTCTGAAACTAAAGCAAAATGAGCGACACAGGCTCCTTGGAGCCTTTAGTTTATATTGATTTATGTGTGTCTTGATATATCCAAGGTGTGCCTACATTGAACAAAGATAATCTGTCAACTGATGGTTCTTATAAATCAGACCAGGATAGCTGTACAACTGAGGCAATAAACTACTCCTATCTCAAGCAGGTAAGCTGTTTCTATTTATTTGTTGTTGTCACATTGGTACTTTATTTGGAAATGTTATAGTATTAAACACATAGAGGTTATTGATGTGTTATCTGTGGCGATTAACTCAAAAACTGAATATGAAAAAAAGAAGATGTATAATTGCCAATGAGACAACTCTCAATTACACACCAAATGACATAGAAATTAACAGCTATAGGTCACAGTAGGGCCTTCAACAATGAGCAAAAACCATACGGCATATTCAGCTATAAAAGGCGCTGAAATAACAATTATAAAACAATTCAAATGAGAAAACTAAAGGCCTGATTAATGTAAAAAAACAACGAACAAAATACAAATATGATATACAGCAAAAAACAAGAACCACTGAATTACAGGCATTAATGTATTTAAAGACTGGCTGACTTAGGCTAATAGTTATTTCACTTCTGAATTACTTCACCAGTTATATCTAAGTAGTGCAGATGTCTTAAGTGCAAGGTTAATTAGTTTTGTGATGTACAACCCCATTAAATAAATATTTTCCCATTTTTCTCCCTTTACAGGCTAATTATTACTTTCATTTCTGTGCAGTTGTCTATCAAAAAAGTGGAAATGAATTGTTATATGGATGATGACTATGGGGTCTTATTTTTATGAGGGTGTTCATCAGTCAATAGCTGAAGTCAAATTTTGAAGAGGAATGACATTGCTAGTGTATTGAAAAGTTTCCTTGCATATGTTAATTGTTACACATGACTTTGTTATTCGGTTAGATTATAAATTGAACCTAAATATGTTGAAGGTCAATAATGAATATTACAGGTGATAAATGAATTATAAAGTTGTCTATGTAAAAACTTGCTCTTTATGGTGTATAGGTCTATTTGATACTTTTCAATACAATATAGTTCTTGAAAAAGTAGTTTTTGTCTCGCCTAAATCGCAGTATGCGAGACATAGGTATTACTATCCGGCGGCAGCGTAAACTATTTGTATAAAGCTTTATATTTCAGAAGGTAGAAGACCTGGATGCTTCATATCTTGTATGCAGATACCTTATGTTACGAAGTTTCCGTCAGTTATATGTCCATTGTCCTTGACCTCATTTTCATGGTTCAGCGATTGCTTGAAAAATATTTGAGCTTTTTTGTCATGTGAATTTCTCACTTATTATGAGTAATAGGATAAATATATTTGGTATATGGGTTCCTTGCAACGTCTACATGTCTGTCAGACAGAGTTCATTTGACCCTGACCTCATTTAATGGATCAGTTATCAAGGTTAAAGTTACGTGATTAGGTTCGTTTTCAAATACTATATGCAGTAAGTCAACTATATTTGGTGTATGTAATGATTGTAATGGGTACATGTCAGTCTGACAGGTTTTTTCATTGAACTCATTTTCATGGTTCATTGGTCAATGATAAGTTTTTGTGTTTTGGTCTGTTTGTCAAGTACTATAAGCAATAGGTCTACTATATTTGGTGTATGGAAAGATTGTAAGGTGTCTGGCAGGAATCATCTGACCTTGACCTCATTTTCATGGTTCATTGGTCATTGTTAAGTTTTTGTGTTTTTGTCTGTTTTTCAAGTACTTTAAGCAATAGGTCAACTATATTTGGTGTACGGAATGATTGTAAGGTGTACATGTCTGTCTTGAAGGTATCATCTTACCTCATTTTTATGGTTCAATGGTCAATGTTAAGTTTTTATACGACCGCAAAAAATTTTGCGGTCGTATATTGGTATCACGTCTTCGTCATCGTCGTCCTCAGCGTCGTCTGAAGACATTTGGTTTTTGGACAATAACTTTAGTAAATGTAAATAGAAATCTAATAAATTTAAACACAAGGTTTATAACCACAAAAGGAAGGTTGGGATTAATTTTGGGGGTTATAGTCCTAACAGTTTAGGAATTAGGGGCCAAAAGGGGGCCCAAATAAGCATTTTTGTAGTTTCCAGACAATAACTTGTGGAACGGTGTATTGATCTCTGAAATTATACCACAAGTTTCCATACCACAAAGGGATGATTAGGATTGGCGTTGGGGGGTTATGGCTCAAACGTTGAGCGAATTAGGGGCAAAAAGAGGGAAAAACACGGGTTTCCTGGTTACTGGACAATTAAAAAAACGTACAATGTGATGTTTGGATTACCTCCCTTACACTGCTTTTAAATTATGTATAAAGAAATGTTGTATTGTCTAAAGGTGATTAGCTGTCAATTTATATTTAGAAGTTATTATTTAAAAATGCTGATTAAAGAATATTAATTTTAGCCATGATTATGTATGTCATTTTCTATTTTAAGACTTTTATGATGTATTTAAATGGGTAATTATGGTTGCAAACTCCATTGGAAATTTGAATTGAGATTATGACCATATCTTGAGGGAAAGAATTTTTTTTTTGGAAAAAGGGGTAGGGGAGTTGGAAAAAAAATTGAGGGGGGGGGGGGGGGTTAAAAAAGAAATTTTGTGAGGGGGGGGACAATTTTTTTCTCATTTCAGATTTCAGAAATTAAAAAGAAATTTCTTCAATTTTTTTTATTTTTTATTTTTATTAAGGGGGGGGGGGGGGGTCAATTTGCAACAGCATAGTGTATTGCACAAAAGCAAAAAATTGAATATAAATTCAATCATATAACCAATTCTAAGTTCTTTGACTACAGATATTCTGTGTCTGAAACCTATTATGTGTCAAATATTTAATTACAATCCAAATTCAGACCTGTATTAAGCGCGAATATTGTGTCCATTTTGCCCCAATTGTTCAGGGTTGGGTACTCTGCGGTCGTATCCAGTTGCGCTCGGCGAAGCAATTTATTGTGTTTTGGTCTGTTTTTCAAATACCAATAGCAATAGGTCAGCTATATAATTGGGATATGGAATAATTGTAAGGTGCACATGTCTGTCTGGCAGGTCTCATCTGACCTTGACCTCATAATTATGGTTCATTTTAATGTTGAGTTTTGTGTTTTGGTCTGTTTTTCAATTAGCATATGCAATAGGTCTACTATATTTGGTGTATAAAAAAATTGTAAGGTGTATATGTCTGTCTGACACAATTTATTTGACCTTGACCAAATTGTCATAGATTTTTGAAAATGTTAAGTGTCTGTAATGCTTTTAGTAAGACCTCTATCTTTAAGACTTTCAACATAAAATCAATGGTCAGTAAAACAGGGGAGACATTTCAGCGTGTGCACTCTTGTTATGATATTTGTTCAAGAACAAAGTAAAATTCACAGCTTTAAAAATTTATCAAAGTAGTGTCTGTGACATATTGTTTTAGTTAATACTTTGATCTTGTAGCAATGTTATATGTATCACAATCTATACACTTGCCAATGTTCATGCTAGGAAGGACAAGTTATTGAACTCATATCAAAACTAGATCTATTTACTTGGTTCTTGATTACAAGTGAAATAACTGCTCGTGATGCGAAGCTACCAAGACTTTGAAAAGTGTTACTTTTTTGTAAATTTTCCAGCACGATTGTAATTCTTTATTACCAGGGTCTTCTCTTGAAATGAACTATTTATAGATATTATATTATTTGTATGTATTTTACAGCTTCAGAAGATTTGGAAAAATTAAAACTACCACGGTTTTACAGTTCAGTTGCCTATCACCATCATTACCAGAAGTATAAAAATTCAGTCATCTACAGATGGCTGGTGGTCT